GCAGCCTTGAAACGCTCAAAGGTGTAAAAATCAGCATTGCGGGAAGGGAACCACCCGTCGAAAACTTCTTCGGTGAAGAAGCTCGACCAACCTGAACCTGAGGTTGGAGGTTCAGGCGCAGGAGGTGTACCACCAGCGTTGCAGGGACCATTCTTGCAACCTTCACCACAATAGGCGTCGCCAGTTCCACAATAATTATACTGGCTACAGCACATGGTATTGTCGGGACAGGCTGTGGATTCCGAACACTCCCCTTGAGACGCAACAAATCGGACCAATGCTACCAGAGCTACAACCACAAACGCGGCAACATGGTGCTGGTGCCCCACACTAGTCCCTGTAGTTCTTCCCATTGTTGCAAAAATACCACGCGCTGGAGCTGGAGAGTGTGAACAAGAGTGTTGAAGAGTTATGATTATATAGCGAAAGCCGCCGCGATTTGTGTGCGATAAAGCCTACCCCATGGAATTGGTAAGTTTGAATTTGCAGTTGCTGATGTATGCTGAGGGTTGTCCGTAATGGATGACGTATGGACTGAAAAGTCCGCGCACGTTCTTACAAGTGAATCAGGGACATGTTCCATGTTCCATGGGCGACTGGTTACACCCAGAGAATATCTTGCAGGACAAAAACGGTGATGGCAATTCCAGATGACGAGTCAAATTGCCCAATCGGTTTCATCCGCACCGATTCAGTGTTAACGAAGTGAGGACAGTGGAGCCAGGATCCTTCTGCTTGCATTTTTCTCGAAGTACATTCTCCAGGTGGACTCAGTCGAGATCAGGCTTTCGGTAACGTGAATGAACATCTGCTGAGGTTCAAAAGTTTGAAGTGGAACTGCAACCCTGTATTTTTCGGGTGGTACAGAATGGAATTTGAAGAGCATTCAATTAGATCGATGGAAAGCAGTCCAGCTAGTTGTCCAGATAATTGCATATTGCTTAAATTTCTAAACTGTCATCTTAAACCCTCAACGCCTAAACCTCAAATTCTAACCCTTAAAAATTCAACTCCTTCATCTAAACTCCTGCCCTTAAACCTTAATCACAAATACAATATGTAAAATAAAAATAAAATAAAAAATGTGTATTTATTTTTTCCTGGACAGTAGACAGTAATTAATAGTCTGTCGAAAACAGATGAAAGTCCAGGAGACGTCAATCCCTTGGTATGTCCAACTGGTACTTTTTCAGGAAGAGTGGCATGTGATCTTTTCAGGAATACTACGCTCCTCCCTAAGTGCAGCCTGTTTCAATCCAGTTGCCTCGTCATCAGAGTGTGCAATTAACTTTCTTTTATGTATGTAGCAGGTGGAGCCTATGATCACAACAACAAGTAGTTCTTGGTGTTGAGATCATTAAATGTAGCTGGCGCTCTCCATAAATTTACTGTAGCTACAGTATTTAGAGTCTAGTGGAGTACTGTTTATCCTCTCCCCTTTTCTCTTCTTGTATAAGAGACACAACCAGATCAATAGATTTTTATGTGTGAATCCTCTCTCTCCTTAGAAACCCTTCCGCTTTTCTCTTCTTGTATACCAGACACAATCAGATCAATAGATTTTTATGTGTGATTCTCTCTCCTTAGAAACCCTTTTGTGTGTATGACTTACTACTACTCTTGTGTGTGTGTATTACTTACTATTACTCTTACTCTTGTGTCTTTCTAAACATTCTCAACACTTGGGAAGGCAATCTGATGTATCCAGTTATGGACAAGAAAAAATCTCGACAGCCTCATCTATTTTCTGCTTTTTCCCTCTATCATTTAATTTTTTCAAAAATAACAGATGAAGACTTGTGTCGAATTCGTTCCTTGATGTGTGGGTCAGAGCTGACCTATTGACCGCCACAAAATTGACTACATACACAGTGTTTATCTATATATATATGTCCTCATAAATACTACGACATGGGCAGCCAGTACGCTTACGAATTGATGGTTTAGAGGAGGCCTTCTCTCATTAAACCATCGCAGCTCTTCGTTAAATATCACGACACAGTCAGCTGAACATTCCGATGCAGTTCGTGAGGTGAAAGAAACATCTGCACCCATAGAAGTCTTTTATCGACAGACCCACGTTTACCGACTAAGGAGTCTAGGCGCCAATCGTCCTCCCTATTATTGAACCTTACGTAAAGCTGTCCAAGATATCCAACAAACACTCATTACTTTGGGGTTGCGCGTGTGTCTAGACAGAGACCACCACACACGAGACAACAATCTTACCATATTACCCAGTTGTGGATTTGGCGAAATAAATCTGGTACTGATTTGCAGACTCTCTGGTAGCCTGAGGACCCATCTTCGAATAGCATATTCCAGGCATAAACTGAGCTTACTGGCATGTATATAAAGAATGAAGCATGCAATTTTAAATTTAAAAAACAAAACAATAAGAAATAATTAATTAACACATACGAAGTAAACTCATTGTATTGATAAGGGGAACGAGAAGCAACCGTCATAAAAACAGTACCCAACTTACTGGGCAAGCATAAGATGCAGAAATTTGAAGGATATTAGTACAAGTTATCCATCTTGACAAGTTGCCTTTGGCACATAGTCAACACTATTTTGCATAACATCATAGTTTTATCTTTTATTTTTATTTTTATTCTTTTTTTATTTAGAATGTTGTTAGTTATTTACAATTTATTATATTAATTAAAAAATCTTGGTTTCTAGTCAAGTTTTTTTATTTCTTTTTTCTTTTTTCTTTTCTTTTCTTCACATAATGTTCTTATATTAAATTAATTATTTTCAAAAGAATCTTTATGATTTTTTTATCAAAACATATTTAAGCTTTAAAGTTCTTAGTATCCTATTCAATTTTTATGTTTTATAAACATTTATCTCTAAATAATGTCCATGTAACTTTAAGTTGTTTAAACCTTGATGGAAGGTTTATTGGAAAAACAATTTGTTTCTAGAGTAATATATCATATGATCTCATACTTTTTGGATTAAAAAAAAATATTGCATATAAGTAAGGTTGCTTAGTATTATAAATTTTTAACTCAGAAATACTTCCAAAACTAATTTAAGATGGAATTTTTTATATTTTGTATAATAAAGTTAGAACCAATTTAATAAACTTCTATCAATTGTAGATTTTTATGCATTTATTTTTATACTCTTATGCCAAATGAGCCACATCAATATGTCTTTTTTTTTGTGCCTTGAACTTAAACCATATATCTTTCTAAGCAAATTTAAAGTCTTGATTTAAAATCTCATTCTATTTCAAGATAGATAGATTCTATACAATTTTTGATGATTTTAAGAGATTTTTACAAAAAGAATTCTATAAGTTATTATTTTGTTATTAAAATTTATTCATTCAAAGTTAGAATATTCTTTCAAAGTAAAAAATTAGTCCTAGTTGAGATTTCCTTTATTTTGATTTTTTAATGATTATTTTTTGCTAATTACTATTTAAAATTAAGTATCTATCTAAAAAATATTTATTTTATTTTTAACCAATTCTTATAATCTAGCATATTAAATAGACCAATCTAATTTTTTTATAAGGAGATGAAATTTCTTAATATAAAACAGTTATCTAATTGGTCAAATAAAAAAGATAAGTAGTTTTAGAACCTCATGTAATTAGAAAGTATGAAAACTATTTCACCATTTATCTATCTTATTTAAGTTCTTTAATTTAAAAAACCATTTCTGTTATAGTAACAAAGCCTAGGTCACGTTATAACTCTTTCTATGTCTATAATTTCTACATCTTTATTTTTTTTCTTTGTAATTAATTTTTTAAGCCATCTTGGTTTATAGTAAATTATATAAATCTTTGTATTAGAAATTGAAAATTTAGGACTTAATTTTTATAATAATTTTTTTGATATTAATTAAATAGCAATTTAAAAATACAATGTAATAATAATATTTGTATAAATTTTTTTCTTCCTTGCAACATCCAGATTTATACAAAATTTGTATACATATATATATATATATATATATGAAATAAAAGGTATTTATTATTTATTTTTAATAAAATTTTAAATAAAATATTATTTGATAGACCATTATATCTATAGCTGTTTTTCTAATGTAGCCTATATTTTATACTTTTTTATAAAAGAGCCAAAAACATAGTCTATATGATTTTTAATTTAATATCTATTTTTTTTAATAATATTATTAATATTAGAAACATATTCTTTTTGTCCTTATATTTTAAGATTTAAAGATAATCTCATCACTTGAAGTAAATATCATATATTATTTGATTTTTTTACAATCTTTTTATTTATAATTCTAAATATTTTCTTTATATATATATAATTTTATTATATTTTAAACATATTCCATATTTTCTCTTTATTTTAGCTAATATGTTGCCAAAAAATAAAGATTTATCCATTGGATACTTTGTCATATTTTAATTGCAACCAAACATCTATCGAAATTTATCTTAAAAATATACTATATTAATGTATAGTATGCTCTACTTGTAATAGCTATTATAAGTCAATATATGGTATGACGAATCTTAACCTACTTTTCAATAACATTGTTCTCCATTGAAGATTAAGTGAAAAAGTAATCACAACTACTCAAAAAGATATATTATGATCTCAGAAAAGAACTCAAAGTATGATAACAAACAAACAATCGATAAAACATCGAGTCTATACACACACCACGTAACTATGTTCCACCGAACAATACTACTACATAAAAACGTATTTTCACTACTCAAAACACACAACTTCACAAATAGGAATACTACACACGCTTGTCTTCGCCAAGAGAGATATTGATTCAACAAAAACGAAGATCATCATACCATACCCTAAGATTTTTAAAAAACAAAAAAATCATCGACTTTCGTCCGAGATATTTTTTTCGCAAAAAGAGAAGGAAGACCGCGTCGAAAAAAAGCGACGATGGGGGCTTCGGAGCCCCAGACGAGGCGCAGTCGACGCCCACAACACGGAAGAGCAATGGCCACTCAAATGGTGATGCTCGACGATTTGTGGATAAAGCCTCCGTCACCGCCATCGCCACACCGGGGGGGGGGGGGGGGACGATTGCCCCAGGACGTCGACGACCCCCCCTTCCTGCCTTCCTGGGTTCACCTCCACTGCATTCGTTGCCGCTTCTGCATTTGCTCCCAATTCCAGCGGCGATTCTCTCAAGGTTCGAGAACGATCGCTGTGTTTATGCTTTGTGTTTGGATTCACGGATTTGTGTGTGAATTGTGTGAGAATTGAGGTTGCTCTGATTGTTCAGGGTGAGTACATTGTTGGATTTTGTTCCAAAGCTGGGTTTTCAGCTTGTGGTGGGTTGTGGTTTGAAGGCAGTGAGCAGGTTTGCGATAGAGGCGCAGGGTTCTTAGGGGGGATTCGGGGGAGAAATGTATCTCACTGTGGGCCCGAGGTTTAAGCCAGGATGTAGCTGCACGGGTTTATCACCCCAGGGGAGGTCCTCGCCCTTGTTGGTGCGCAATTCTACCATTTCGGAAGAAGGGGTGGGCGAGCCTAGCGGTGCGGGGAACGAGCAGCTGCAGACAGCGCGGTTGATTCCCAAGGTGAAGCCGAGGGAGAAGTGGATGAGAGGTGATGGACCAGGGGAGTACGGCGGCCCGCCCATCAACTGGAGAATGCCACCAGCTGGGGGCGTGAAACCCAAAAAAGATCCCTTGACGTCCACAGACGACTACATATGGAAGCAGGCTTGGCAGCCCTATGTAGAGGCTGCTCCAGGGGATATCAAGCCCCCTTCACCTCCGGTGAGCACTTCTCACCTCTTTCGTTTCTCATTACATTTTGCAAATACGAAGGCAGATTATTGCTCTTAAAAGTTTGAGTCGAGGCAGTCGTGGTTGGTACTACATTATTTGTTGATTTAGATTCTACTTTTCTTGGTTTGTGAAGGTTTCTTGTCGCTTAGTATCATGATTTTTTAGGTTTTTTAATTAATCCATATTCAACTTCAAAATTATGTGTATGGGGGTGCGGAACTGGTGATTAAGTAGAGCCACACCACAATGTGCTTTTGATTTGCAAATTTGGCTTCCGCAGGAAGCTGAGCCAGAATCCGGTTTTCTTAGTCTGAATCGCGCAATCGCCCTGGACAGGTAAATTATCGGCATCGTAGTTTTGGTGAGCGGACATTAAGATCAAAAAGTTCCAAACTATCTTGGAATCGCTACGTGTGTGTGTCTCTTGCATGGAATTATGACGGAAATCATGAGTAATTTTTATTTGCAGCTTGGATGTAGACCTGAGTAAGGAGCTTATGCAACCATCGAAGGCCACACTAGAACGTCAAGTTGCAGCCGCTCGCCGGGCTTCTTTATTGGAATCTGAAGCTAAGGTACCGGATGTTTTGTAGTTTTGAATTTTACGATCGTCTCTTTTTGCTGGAGATACTCTTGATCAGCTTATTTTCGAAGAAAGTTGATGTGAAATTGGTAGCCATGTTTTTTTATAGCTCAGATATTTGCCTGAAGTTTTACATTATGATGGAGTCCTTCAGGACTAATATTACTCCTTGGTTTTAAAATTTGCCATTTACTGAATGTTGCTCAATATTTTTGTAGAGGAAAGAGGAGAGCAAAATTAAGTGGCGGTTTGCCCCAACTAAGCGTGAAGAGGAGCAATGGGCTCGTGCCACTAAGGCCGTGTCTGGTGGCTCGGTAAGTTTGACCGAGAAATTTTCTTCCTAGCTGTTTTCTATTTCAAAACGAAGTAAATGACTGCGGCGTGAGGTGATTTCGTTTGCTGTCTCATGTTACTGTCACATTGTTGGTTTGCAGGAAAAACTGATGAGAGACTCAGAGAAAAAGGTAGTAGACCCTGTTAAATCTGCAGCTATAGCAAGAAAAAAGTATCAAAAGGTGTGTATTCCTCAGTTATCTCTATCACTGAGGCTCGTGCTGTGTGGTTAGCTGGTTATGCAAGTAATAGATTGAATTGAATTACAGGCATGTAGTTATTGTCCATGGTTTCTTCACAGGATTTACAGCAAAGCATCTTGCACGTAAAATCAATTTAAGTTGATCTCCCTGGACCATGTTGTAGAAGTCAATCTCAATGTGATGTTTTTGGAGTGTGTGTGCGTGTTTGTGATAATGTGTTTTGGGTGATTGCAGCTCAAACAAGATCTTCAAATCACTACACTTGCTATTGGAGGTGCCAGTTTAGTGGGGACCTACTTTTCCTATTCTGCAGAAGCTGCTATCAGGTGCACAGCTTATTGACTATTCAAAACGCTGAAATTCTAATCATTAGATAAATGGATCGATTTTACGTCTTCTTGTTCGGTTTCGCTGTCTTGAATGACTGTTCAAATTGTAGCAAGTTTGTTCGTCCCTTCCTGAACTTTTCAAGAAATACTTGGTTTCAGGCTTTTGTCCATGTTGTCTAGCGACATGAGTATATTTCAACTTTCATTTGTACTTCTTTCCAGTAGCTCCTTCGTTCTTAGATGTCAAATGTAGTCAATGACAAACGCTTACGTGAGTTGCTCATTACGAAGGGTGGATTTTGCTGCAGCTATGGAACTGGGCTGGTTGGAGCACTCGTATATATTCGCATGCTTGGAAACAGTGTTGACAGCGTTGGAGCGAGTAACGCTGGAGGAGCTATGAAGTAGGCACATTCTCATCTTTTTAGTATTTAATGAAGTAGCTTACACTTCTAATGTGTTGCGTTGGATCAAATGGTCCACTTTTTTCTTCAGAATACCTTGTATTTTTACAATTATAGCAACAAACGGAATCGTCCTCTAACTTAGAATCGTCCCTGCAGGGGTGCGATGGGACAGCCTCGTACTTTGGTGCCAGTATTATTGGTAATGCTCTTCAACAGATGGAATGCGTAAGTCATCCTCCCTCAGCAAACTCCATAAGCTTGTGTTGATGGTCATTCTGTAGACACATCATTCCTTGGATTTCACACAGCTTGAGGTTGTGGAAGTGCAGATTGGTAGTCCCCAAGTTTGATGTGATTCCATTGGAGCTTATTCCAATGCTGGTGGGCTTCTTTACGTATAAAGCAGCCACATTTGTCGAAACGTTTAAGGAAATTCTTCCAAAATCTGAAGAAGACGACAGTGACATTTGAGACCGTTTTGGACCCATACATCACTTCTTCTCTCTGCATATACATTGTGAGGGTAAACTCAACGCGTCTTTGTCACCACTTTACAATTCGTTCTGTTGTGTGCTTTCATGTCATGGTCCAGTGGTTGCTGAGTCATCTTTTCGTCTCCTATTTGGTTATTGAAGGACATGAGGTTCGGCATATACAAAAGTTTTTAACTTGTGTTCCTCATTTGAATGCACAGATTTGCCACGTCTCATTCTCCACACTGAGTGTAATACATAATATGATAAGGTTCTGGATCTCCAAATCCAGAAGAAAACGTATGTACATTTGTTTTTCTGTAGCATGCAACAAGGGCAGAAGCCATGATTCTTAGAGTTGCATTTGGTCTAGATTAGGGGTGATGAAACTTTACAAGGTTCAATACAGTATATACCCAGTTAAGTGTATTGCTCTGAAAGCGTTTGTCTACGTCAGATGTATTCTTGGTGTTCCTTTGATGACATCCTCCTTGTCCTGTATTTTACAGTGATAGGTAAAGAATGGATAACCCATCTTGACACTGACGAAGTGATATATGAGCACCACATTCACCTATTCCTGTGTGAAAGTGGTGATTGGCGCGATTTTGCCACACGTCTTCGAAATTCAGTTCTGTGGGATTTCCTATGAATAAACTGATCTTCGTAACTGTGGTCTGATTGATAAGGCGTCTGTCGACCAAGCACATGAGGTATCCCTGCAAGAGTAAGAATGTTTTTGGCTTCACCGGTTTGTGAGCTTACCATAGCACCTTAACAACTAAGACCGTACTCACGATACAAAAAAAGCTCCCAGAAATTCTACTTCAAAAATCTCAACTTTTGTGCTATCATTGCCACGAACATTGTAAGTCAGAAGCACCGCTTTCGTCACAGTCCGTAATAGACTTGCAAACAATCTCATCACAGTCTCGTGATCAACACCACCAACACCAACGAAAATCACATATCTATATTCCTCTGCTGTCCTTGAAAGACGAATGAAAATCCGTTATGTCCAGGTGGGGGTTACTTCTTTAAAAAAAAATGTAATAGAAACGAAATAACCACCTGAGGTCCTGCAATCATACTATGTGCGACCTTTTCATGCAGGGGAAAATTTCATGAAACAGGGAAGAGGAGCCCAATGACAGCTTCTTCCATCTTCATTAGATGAAATCTAGAAGGCATTTCTTCTCTCAAGAGTACATCCATTTTCAATGTAATGTGTGTGGGGGATTCTTTTTTCCAAGAAAACCTTAAGCTTTTTGTCAGCAAATTTATTAATTCCAATTTTTTTTTAAGTACCAATGATTGTGTATTGTTGTTGTGAGTGGACAATAAGTGCATAATGTGCATCATGAAGTCAATCAAAAAATTGTGCAATCATAAATTTGTACAAAAATTTGTACTCAAGTGACTTTGATGTTACATGTACTGGTGTATTTATCATTATTGCCGTTATTTAATGTAACGATTTTACATAAGATGATGAAGTAATTGTGCAAATTTTTCGGTTTTAAATATAAATAAAATTACATGCTGGTGTCCGATGATAAGCGTATCAAAAAAACATACGTGTATATGTTAATATTTGAATTGTATAATAAACCTCTATCCTCTACAAAGAATAAAATCATTAAAAAAGAATATAAACAAGTGAGCTTGTAAGCTGATTACATTGTTTTTGGAGTTGAATGCCTTTGGTAAGATAAAACAGTTAATCCGATGACAGAAGAGTAAATTAAAAACGAAAAATTAACCAATTTCAAATGTAGTGTTGGTGGGAATCATCAAGTAATATTTCTCAATCAATGTGTAATACACCACTAAACCTCAAATTGTACTCCAAAAATAGATAGCTCTTCTACAACATCGCAAATAAGTAAAGAGAATCTAGAGTTTTAGACAAATCCACCACGAATCTTACTGCTCGATGAAGTGTCTTGAATATTTGTCTTTCAGTGAGTCACATCGTCTATTCACGAAAGACTTTTAATATCATATAGAAGATATGTCATTGACTACTTGATCCTTCCACATGCAAAACTTTCAAAGCAACAAGGACGTTGACGACCAACAAAAATTCAAGCTCTGGTTTTTAATGCATCCTTTCGGCACATACTTTTGCGATGGTAGTAAAAGCTGGATACAAATTCACTTACATTAAAAAAAACATAATGAAGTTGATCGAGTTAATCCATACAAATTTCCCGATAGAAGTCTTCACCGAATTGAGAGACTAGAATAGTTTCGTTCAATTCCCTTTCACATCACACCCTGCACGTCATCATTGTGAAGAAACTGATTCCACAGAATACTTCTGTAGAAAATTTAGCAGCTAGTTTATGCAAAAGGTTCCATGAGTAGAAGATAGCATGACTGATTTGGTCAATGCGACCATAAAACCGCAGATAGACGACAACTATGGTACAAATAAGAACTATCGCGGCGTTTTCGATCCACGTAATCTTGATGGAGACAACTTTCTTTTTACAAATAGACTATCTGCTCATTGCTCGATTCACTTGACATTTCTGAATATGGCAATTTAAGTTAAGCTCCATCAAAATTGTGCGCGAAAACTAGAACCTAGGTAGCTATTAGAGAATTACAAGATTAGTACGAGATTATACCTTCCTCGCTGCCCGGGTAGCTCAGCAAGCAATCTTCACCTGTATAAGCTATTATCACCCACTTGGCTCCCGATTTCCAGTCCAAATACCTCGTCTGACTAGTGCACAAATTCAACTACAAGATTTCAAAGCATCCAGTATACTATCCCGAATATTGTAGCAGCTGTGATCAGAGATCAAGTTCTTGGAGATGATGATTCTACTAAACCTAGCGGAAGGGTCTGTCCCACAGATAACACGGTACTTGTACTTCGAACCTCTAGGAGCTTCTTGACCAGCAATGAATGGCCTTGCAGGAATTGGAAGTGCAGTCATACGCTCTTCTCTCTTGATTTTTTGTCGTCTGATGTGATAGAGGACGCCTGGAACAAAAAGACGGCGTTTCTCGAGCTCTTGTCGACTAGCTCCTGGCTCATTTGCCACTGCTACAATGGCCTTGGCAGCTATTTCTGGACTGGTGTCTGAATCATACATTTTGACGTTGGGAAGGGAGCTCCCTTCTATCCCTGATAAAGCAAAAATAAATAAATAAATAAATAAATAAATAAAAGTATCAATCTCATTTGTAATTGTTCTACTCTCGAAAGCCATCACCAAAGCAGCAACTTATTGAGAACAAGATGGAGAATTGAATGGCCAGAGAATAGGAACAGATTTCAAAGCTTATGCATTGCAGCTACATTTGCCTTCTCACCAAATATCCACTTCAAAGCATTCAGATGAAAAATTGAGTTGCCTACACGCGTAATGCTAAGTTTTGGTAGTTATCCATATCAATTAGAGCAAAGAGTGTAGTGGGCGTAGATGGCCTTACTCATATTTGAGTTACTACTATCTGAGCTGGAGCAGCCCAGTGAAGGAAGTCCATGTTCCACATATGCCTCGTGGAGTTTTTGATACACGGAGACACCTATTTCGTTTGTGGATTTTATGATGTTACCGACATGGATCCGCTCCATTGTACCCGCCACAAACTTTAATTTCTCTCCCTTCACGCTTTCCGAGCTGAATTGGATGCCATAAACAGACTATCAAACTTCTAAGTACGGGCTAAACTTACGCATAACTGAAAAAACTGGAAGCCAGGTCTGGTCAAAGGGCTAAACCCTCACTCATCTAAAATATGCACAACAATTTCCAATCCCAAGAGCCAGAATTTGAGCGTCAAAAACACAAATCGCATGTCAATTTATCGGGATGCAAAACCTATTTTAAGGCACAATTCAATAAAAAAAGACTTGAGGAAAAGCTTACAAGGATGTGTCTTGAATCTCTTCACGCAAAACTTCGATGGCTGCTGGATTGACTCGTGGCACCACATCATCCTGTGGAATGGCGATTCTTAATCAGAAAATTTAAACCCAATGGTCAGAAAACCCCACAAGTTTCTGCAAAAGGTCCTTCTGCTGCTTGTCTGCAATCAATGAAATCAGTAACCAACGAGACACCTTTAAACGTGAGTCAAAATCTAAATCTAACTAACAAAAAATTCCAGTCGTTTCAGTAATGCAAAAGTATGGATACAGATACTGTCGCAAAACAGAACCGGTCCAAAAACGAAGGCATGAGTGTGTTCAATTTTGATGTTTTGAACGCGTACGGATTGTAAGAATACCTGTAGAACAACGTTGCGTATGAAAGTTTCCCTTTCAGCTAATGTTCGGTCCACGCAGGGAGCACACCCGTAACCCCAACATTTAATGTTGTGTCTAAAGATTCCAAGTGATGTTGGGATAAACCAGGACCACGAGGTTGAATAAATCATCATCGTCAAAAGAGCGGCAACACCACCTCCTAGAGAATGCCCTGTTAGGACTAGTTTGTAACCCTGTTGAAGCACCAATGCATAAGCTTCAGAAAATAATCCCGTGATGGGATAAGAACCCTGCAAGGAACAGATTAAGACGCGGTAGCAAAGTTGGTAATACACGGAGGTTCACATCTCCAAGCGTCACATTGATGTAGACGTCCTTATCATTGGGTTCGATCATGCATTGTTGTAATCAAAACCTTCGTAAAACTGAATGGTAAAGAAGTTCCAAAGTCTCATAATATGCACACACCGAATTTTCTGCGAGAAGCCTCTTAAGTACAGGCCCTTCATTTTCCAAAAGCCACTTCGCTGCTCCAAGCATTCCCGAGTGGGCAGTCCTGCAGACAGATAAATTGATCAAAAACCACATCCCTGGAGAAGTTAAATGTAATCACTGTAAAGTACAAGAACGTGAATAGAGAACTCTTTGCCTTCCTCTGAAAACCTGGCTTGTTGAACAAACTCACTCACCCTTTTTGAAAAGGCTCGTTGTGAGGACAAAGATCTGTCAAGATGTCTGTAGTGTTATATGTCCCACGAATACCAATGACTACATATTTTTTAGCATGGTAAACAACAATGAAGTAGGCAGGTTTGTTGACTGCTGACTTTGACAGCCTCACTAAGTCTCGATCACGCAACTGCATCTCGAGGTAAGAGAAAGCAGAGAAAAATTCATTAAATACACGTGATACAACTGGTCTGCATTTTTCCATCAAATGACGTATTTACCTTCCACAAAATCAGCAAGCTGAATACAAACATCTCATCTAAATCTTCTAGTATTAAGTAGATTGACGAGGTACTCAATCGTTGGAATCTATCAGTTGATGTTTCAGTGAAAGCCGTGATGACAGTTACCAAAGTTGATAGATGCATGAGCATACTCAATAGCAATACCGTTTTTAAGAAATGACTATGAAACAGGAAATTAAGTATTACAAAGAACCAAAGATATTTTTTTGCACCTGCATCGAGGTTAAAAAAGTATGTCTATCTTTCTCGTATGCAGCTGTTGACCATCGAAGCCATTCTAGCATCTCCTCCAATTCAGCTCTGCATTTCAGAATCAACTATTTGAAAACTTCATATGTTCAAATTAAAGAAGACGGTGACAATAGTGATTAATTATTAATTTTTTAATGACCGTATGAAATTGATCATTGCATGTTCATGTGTGTACCGGTCCCTGATTTCAACACCCTTGATAGTGTCCACGGCACCCTCCTTAGCATGACGATTGTAGAGCTTGAGAAGGCCTGCTGTTGTATCCGAGACGCTCCATCTTGTTGCCCCTTGGAAGCCCTGGCTTAGATACACCGACAATGCTGCAAAAATCCTTTCAATACTACATTTTCCTGCGTGCTTCCCTCCGCATTCCTGACCTGCATCCTCAGAATCATAACAAAGACCATCAATACTTTTACAGTTCTAAATTACACACAATCGACAGGATCCCCGTGCAACTAATTTGAAATCTTCATGTCCAATGTGACAGCACCAAATTGCCATATCAGCCTATTATAGATTTAAAATATACGGTAAACTAAAATAAAATATCAAGAACAGCTCCAAAAAAGTAATCTTCAATCACTGGGATACAACGAACTATTTACACTTACAAAGGACTTCCTCGGTCAATCCTGATCCCATGTGTGTGAGTCTGCCGTGTCTGCTGTGTACAAGCTCTTCACTTTAACAATTGAGGTTGACAAATATCAATTAAAACACCTGCACAATGCTCACAAGCATTTCTTAAGGATGAGGATTTTAATGTTGAGCTTATCTAATCAATCATCAAACCTTCAGTGTAAGATACAACAAAGTGTTGATCATCGTTCCAGAATTCATCCTAAAAGTTCAATATAAACATGAGGTTCATTGGTGATGATGGAAAAGACCTGTGAGAGAACAAAACTACATTGGTGGTGGATAAGAGTTATCAATCATGAACTTGTGGTCGTCGTAGACAATTCAACACAAAGAAGTGCTGGATTTGTCCGACTCAACCTTTTTGCAAACTGCGATAAAATTTCCCTTCGTCCCTCGCCTTAAACTACTATGATCAACAGAGCTATCTTTTAAAAGGAAACAAAAGAGAACAACTTCTATGAACATGTACCTATCCATGAGTTTCCATGCTGTGGCATTAACATGTAGACCATAATTCATCAAAAGGAATTCCTAGACTATTCATCACTGAGAAATCTTGGTTGAGAAGAAGGAATGTCGTCGCAATAGAGGAGAATTTAAGAACTTTGAAAAAGAGAAAAAAATATATTAAAAGAACCCTTTACGAGGAAAACACGCGCACAATTGTGGGGCAGGTCCAATGCTTGGCAACAGATCTTAGGACAAATGCTTCGACAGAATCAACTCTCCACTCCTATCAGACGCGGAATACATAATATCACCTTCCTAGCATTATCATCTCTGCTCACAAGCCTCCGTCGGATTGCTCAACATCAAGAGCAGAGAAAGGTTGGCTTCCTTGCTTCTGAACTGAAACAGACGCACGAGAAAACGAGACTGGTGGAAGAACAAGCGTTTCAATCACTCGACGAAATCCTACGACACCTTATCAAGAGATGAGAGGGAAATTAGGATCAAACACAGAAGGAAAGACCATTCAAATTTTCTTTCGTTCTTCTCTTCACGCCAAAACACCACTAATTCAAGAAACATCCACCAGCATAGCCCCAGAAGTTGCTCACCGCTTTCTGGATCAAACCTAAACCCCACCTCACCACCCCAATCAAAAAATAAAGCTAAAACCAACAGCCTCAGTTGCTTCTGCCAAAACCGTGTAGTTTTCCTACAAACGCCAAGCCCATCAAAACCACGACACCACAGAATGATGCATCGGCAACTCCACGCAAATTATACTAATCAGCAACATGCCAAAAGTTGACCAGGTTGTGGGATTCACAGCACTCAGCTTAGGTTTCGGTGAAAGGAGGGAGGAAATGGCTGAGAGATGGACAAGTGACACACTTAGGGAAGCGAAGTTTTTCCGCAGTCTGTGCCAAACTTAACACTCGGTTCCTGCGGTGTGGCAGCCACGAAGGATTCTGCATTCCCTCTTTATTTACCAAACAATAGGAATCCCTCGCAACGCGCCGACACTGCCACCGGAAGCATTGTTTTTTTGCTTTATCCGGAACATCCCAAGGCCCTCGAAACTCCATCTCCGAAGAACAATCTCTCCCCAAGTGCCTGCAGAAAGATGTCTCCCCTGAAAAGCTCTACAATTCACATTTAATGAATTTCCCATTCGTGGGTAGAAAAATGGTCCAACATTTCCTGTTGTGACACGGCAGATGGAATGCACTTTGTTTACTTGTCCAAGTTTCAATGAGGGTTAAATTTGAAGGAGATTGCAATCTGGGTGCTGTTAATGTGGCCATGGAGCAGGACTATACAACATTCGGTTTTTTTTTGTCAATAAGCGATTGTGAAGTGGGAGAATAGCTTGGGAAATTATAATAAAAAAATGACAATCAAGATGAAGTCTCCACATGCACATTCATCAAAACACACAACTTGCATGAGAGAGGGAAGAGGGAGTTGCTTTCTGGTCCCGTTTTTTTTGGAGAATGTTGGCTGAGACCTGTGTTGTAGGGCGGAGAAGCTACGCCATGCCAAGTTTGCACCACTTTTATTATTATTTTAACAGATTGAGGATCTAGTGGTTGACAAAGGAACTCTTTTATTTTAAGAAATAAACATTGTGCTGTATGTAGAGTGACACAAGGATATTTAGTGGAGAAAGTATTGTACTAGGGAGGGCTTTATAACATTCCTCTATAACAAACTATTAGTATGGAAGTATGTCATGAAGTGTGATAATCCATAGTCAAATTCACACCTTTGTCATTTTTCACTAAAGGCAATGAGATTTATTTCTCCATTATAGTTGTAGCAACATAAGTTGCAAAACATAGTGATAAGAATAGGGATAAGGATGTGATAAGAACAATGCAATGAATATCATTATGATGCATTTTTTCCTCTTTTTTTTTGTCTTTTTCTTTCTTCTAATTACCTGTACATGTTTTTCTATTCATAATATTACAATTATAAATCTAAGATTTATTTAATTCTAATCTCAAATGTTTAATAAGCTTAAGTAATTCAAACACATTGATTCTAAAACCAAAGACTTCTTAAATAACATTGGTGCTAGATTGAATTTTAATGAAAAGAAGTGTGGAAATTGGACCCACATTAGACAAAATACTAATAATATTTTATTGGTTCTAGACTTTAATATATTTTGTACTAAACATGATATATGCTCATTTATTTTTATTTATTAATTCTTAAATGTAATGGACAAAAGTTGTTTCTTTTTTTTAATAAATCAAACAAAAAAAATTAAATGTGATAATTAATGACACAAATGCTCTTATAAAAACTCTAACTTCAAAATCTTATACTTTAGATCAAAATTATACACTAATTCTATCTTGAAATATAAAGCAATTTTCTAATACAAATAAATGGTATAATAACCAATTTATACATATATTCAAAATGATTCACTATGTTTTTGCTACCTCAAATAAAAAATTACATTATATTAAATATAAATTAAAAGACATATTACAAAAAACAAATTATCATCAAGTACAAAAAGATTGCTTATTAAAAAGTTTAAGGTTAAAAAGTTTAAGGTTAAAAAGTAAATAATAAAATTGAAAAAATTGAAAGTAGAATGTTAGACAATAGAAACAAAGCTAGAGATAGAAAGGATAATAGTTTTAGAAAAATATTGTTTGATTAATTGATTAAACAAAAACATTACAAGGAAGGAACTTCAGCCTTTTTGGTTAGCAAGAACATGCAATCTAGTCCTTCCAACATGAAAAGATCAAGCTGAACTGCAATAAATCTAAGGAAAAAATTAGCAACTTCTCTGTACAAAGTGGTCGGAAGTGACCAATGCTGAGATTTATCCTACTTAGAATGCGAGAATGGAGGCTCTCAGTTGCAGCAATCTCATGACATGGAATTCAAAGGAATGTGTGCCTACTTCTACGGTTCGTGGCCAAGGGGTCTACACCTGACACCGGAAGTATGGTAAAGAGATAGAATCAGTAGAATAGGAGCGCCCCATGAGAAGACGAGACCAGACACCAGTGGCATAGGCCCGTACGCCCTCACAATCACCAAGCACAGCTGCATCAAAAAAGAGGAAAATCAGTCAATTGTTTTCGGCATTTCACGTTCCTCGTAAGACGGTCTTTGTGCACTCAAAAAGAAAAACCACACAGCTACATTAGTTTTCTGATATCGTTGGTTTTTTGCATACAGCTCTGATCATAGCAAGACAGTAAGTTCACCAAAAGCCAATTTTCTTAGGCGCAACTAAGAAACTGTGTGCAGAGAGAAATGAGTGACACACGCATGACTAAAGATAATAAATACATATAGAACTGTAACTATTAGCTTGCATAATCGGCGTGTCATGTGATGCTCGCATCACAGAAGCACTCCCAAACCCAAAGTCTACCGATTAGAAGCTAATGATGTACAAAGTATTGTTCTTCTAATTGTGCAAGATTCATTGATTTTTTTTAAGCCATCAGATGTGAACGTAAGCACTAGATTGGAGATGAGCATCTTGCAAATGAACACAAGCCAAAAGAAAGGAACTACATTGTTGCTTACCCGCCAATGGATGAATACGACTGCCAAACACCCCACAAATAGGCCTTTTCGAACTCGCCGACTACAAAGTTTGCAGTGGTGATCTTTACTGTCTGCTTCAGTTTTAGTGAGCAGAGGATCTGATTCACCATGTCTCCGTGAGGTGGAATCTTTTGTGAAAGACCCTTGCACAATCGCTTCCGAGGATGCTGTATTCCCTTGAGCACCAACATCTACTGTATTTCTTTCAGTTTCAGACTCTCCTCTATCAGAGTATTCCTTCGGTTTCCGAGACTTCCCAAAACTTTTCAGATGAAATTCACAAGCAGCTCTTTCAGCTGAAAGAGTTGATATCATCAAGAGTAGAGGTAGCACCACCCCGTACAGATACGGCAATACAACAGTCATTATGTCTGGTATTCCTAAGCCTGACATTGTCTGGACAGAATCCGCATTCGATGGGTTAACGGTTACACCACGCAGAGACATATGCCCAGTGGGAAAATCACTTGCAAGAACTCGACCTGAGTACCATGGAAAGAAGGTTAAATATAACACACACACCACTAGACCAATCCACAGGAAGTTGTTTCGGGAACACTCCAGAAAGGCCCAAAATGGCACCTTGACGACTTTACCAAGCGCACCACTTGTAGTCGAGAAAGGTTCAAAAACCGAGGCCGTCCACACTTCATACTGGCCATTTTTCTCAAGTAAGAAATGAAATACCTTCGAGGCCACCAGAAGTGAGAGCAATAAGAATACAATGCTCCAAAGGAAGACAGGAAACGCAGTTTCCCACTTGAAGCCCATGACTATGAAAGCCAAAGCCGAAAGGTGAAATTTCCCAGGATCATCGATAGCAGAAACGATCCTCATCTCGCTGTAAGACAAACTTCCGTTTGAGCTTTCAGCAACGATTTGGATGGCATACTTGAGTCCACTGTTGTATATGTACCTCTCACGTTCCCAAAAAGTAGTGTAGTATTGCGCCCCATGGTCACTCCTCTCTTCACTCAGATTCATAGAACTTTCATGTACCAATATTAGTGAGTGTGAACTGAGGTCGTAAATTCTTGCTTTGACCGAAGCTGGAGTTGCCTCAGAGAAAACTAGAGCTCGAATCGAATTTAGCAGTGAATACGAACCTCCAGAATCTTTCACAAAAGTTCTTAACATAAACGTTGAGTCAAGAGGATAAGTTTGCAAAATGATTGTAGGCATGGTAAACATCCCCTCCGCAGTGTCTCCCGGAGGTATCAACTCAACATCCACAAAAGAAGTATGACCATGGTCTATAGCCATGACTCGCATCATGCGACTAACACGCCAATCACCCATCTCCCATTCCCAGAAGTTCCCATCCTCCCGCCTGCGTTCGAAATGGGTTTAGTAGTCAGAAATGCTTCTACATAAAAGTGGTATGTTATCTCTATCACGAACCTCACAAGATTGTTGCAAAGCGTGAAAGAATACTCATGGATAGATAAGAACGAATGCCTTCTCACCATGATCAGCAAAGAGAAATGCTGAATTTGCAAATAAGAGTAGATAGTAAACTATATTGATCTTCTCAAGGAGAAATGCATACTTGTGGTGCTTGTAAAGCCGGCGACCAAATGTTGTGTGCAGATGCCCACATATATAAGCAGCCACTCCATTTCTTGCCATAATATCTTCAGGACGCTTTCCTGTCTCCGTTGATGTAGTAAACGACATTGGATAGTGCCCATAGACAATCTTCGTTACAGGATCCGGAATGCTCAAGTTGTCCCAGCGCTGGAGTTCCTCATCAAGTTGCACAAGGATATCGTCGGTAGGGTGGCCGAAAAGATTTGTGGGAGCCCGCAATCCAACATGCATGGAGTCGTCAAACCCTACAAATAAGTGTTTGCGACCATCACGACCCTGAAATTAAAGCACGAAATTATGAGTTCGCAGAGAAACATAGTACTGAATCCGTCTGGATCGATTAAGCCATCCCAAGGTACTCAACAAATAAAAGACAAGTTAAACTCACAGAATAATACACAACAAGGTTTTAGAGTAGGTATACGTCCGTCACAAGCTTTGTACCTTGACTGTTACACTTTGCAAAAGGCTGGTGCGGTTCATGGCAGCACTGATGCTATACTTTGGAAAATAATCAAGTGAAGACAAAGGGGGAACTCCATACTTATCATGATTTCCTCTTATATCATAAAAATACTTCAGTGGGATCCCACTTTCATCCGCCACCTTGTGTAAGGAATCACGATACTCGATCCATTCTACTTCCTCCTGCTGTGTCGATTTCCCGTCCTCACTTTTCGCATCTGCTCCGACACAACAACCAGTTACACAAACTGATCATCATCAAAAAAATCAAGGAACTCGAGAACAATCTTTAATTTGGTGCAAAATCGCACCTATGAGGTCCCCTGTCACCAGAACAATGGCAGGCTTGATCAACTTTAACGCGTGACCAAGTGATTTCCTCAAAGCTCTTCCGCGAGCTGGAATCCATTTACTAGTATGGATGTCAGACATTTGCACGATCCATACGACTCCTAGCGGGGCAGTGCCTTCCATTTGCACCACTCCCAGCTCATCGTCCCCCGTCCCTGAGAAATTCTCTGCACGCTGAGTTGCAGTGCCATCTATAGTTGATGACGAGAGGGAATTCACACTAAAGCATGAGAATAGTGCGAGAACCAGAAACAATCGAAACCTCGACCACGTCCTCTCCATCGAATTTCGTAATCAGAATGCGGTTCTGCACTTGCAAAGCCAAAAGACTCATTTCATTGAGACAGCAGGTGTACTATATATCAAACCTCAAATCACTATAAATTCCCGAATCTAAAATGAATTCCTCATCTCCGAAATCAACGAACCGCCACGATAGAAACCCTATTCCTCAAAATCAAGTCATAAAGTCAAGCTTTGGACTACAATCCCACGGTTCGCATCTCCTCAAATGCAACGGAGGTTCCGCAACCAGCAACGAGACCCAATTTCCAATCACGCACACTCTCCGAAAACCTGAACCTGCATGCTTTCAAAGAAAACTTTCACAATCCCATTCTCACAAACCAAACAGAACCCATCAATATTTCGGCAAAAGGCCAAAAAACCTCTAAGTTTCACAGATTAGCCATGACGATTTTGGCACCGCAAACCGCCCACTGTAGTCGCATCAGCGTCAAGCCCAATGCAACAACATGCGAGGGGGGCGACAATTTCGTCAGCACCAGTTGGTATCCAAAGATTCGAAATGCTGATGCGGGCAATTCAAGGAGCAGCGACTTCGGTGTCAAGCAACGGAAGCATCCAGGTGCGATCTATGTCTCAGAAAACTCAAGGTCATCCCACTGAGATGGGTCGCTTTTGCAGGCCGGGCTTGCCTATGAAGGGTCGAAAGTATCTCCACCAATACACGGTATATTGGCCTCGGAAATCCACCCAATATTCCTCCACTCGGTTCTTATAATTGTGTATAAATGTAGATGGACATCGGAATTTCAAAATATATACATATATATATATATATATGTATATATATATATACATATTTTTATATATTATTATAAAAATTCGTGTAAAAATATATAGATTTAAAAAATATAGAAATTAATGGTTTGTGCTTTAGGTGGTTTATCAAATTATGATAGGCATCAACAATATATATATTTTTTTAAATAGTTGAGGATTTAAAATTTATGAATGGATAACTTATGAGATTACATTTGGATGTATGTATGTATAATTGAAGTTTTAAAGATAATTTATGCTCTATATATGTATATTTATATTTATTGTATTAGATGATCTTACAGCAACCACCATATTAATATAAATTTGTCTACCATTCAATGTATGAATAATTAAGATATTGCATCAGATATTTTTTACATATAAAAAAATTGGTTAGTTTATTTCCTGAAATTTTAAGGACACACTTAAAATCCAATCTTGAGAAAAATGATGTTGTATTTTAAACAATAACTACAACAAATGGGAGACATAATGTTTTATTTTTAATCAAACGTGTAATTCTAAGTTTTATCAAACATGTTCCAAATGTCTGTTTGGTTAATTTATGATTTTTTACAATATTAATATGGAAAATAAAAATAGATTTAATGTGGGTCTTGTTAAGCCAATTGTTACACAATTTATCCTTATTAATCCATGTTTCACATGTCACTATAATTTTTGCTACTTCCACCACAACTTGCCACCCACTCAATATATATATTTTTTGGATATTTTTAATTCCAATAAATATATATATTTTTATATTCAAGTTTTTTTATCAATTTTTTTTAATTTTAGTAAAAACATTTAATAAAAATAAGTTGTGATGAGTTGTAGTAGATGGCAAATTGTGGCAACAATAGCAAAAATTATTGTGGCACAAGCAACACCAAAAAATAATATGTATAAGTTTATCCTATTTTAAAGATTATGTTGTAACAAAAAAAATTGAATTTTAATAATATATTATTCAAATTCTAATATTCTTTTTTAATTTTGTAATCTAATAATGGAGTGTTTTGTGATTATAAGAGAGTTTATGAAAAGACCTTTAGACAATAATCAATATTAGATTTTAAAATTATATATATATATATATATATATATAACACAACCTTGGAGATAAACAAGAAGAGATAAAAACCCTCTATGATTGGTTGCATGCCTCCCTCAAAGAAAACACAAGTTATTGTTATTTATATCAACATCTCTCTTGATCATGCCAATTCTGTAACTTCATACTTTTCTTGTGCTAAGGTACAACCATTCTTGTATGTAATTATTATTTGTTAGTATATTTGTTTCAAAAAACTATTTTTTTGTATATAGATATTATGTATTATATATTTTTTGGTAATATTTTTTCCTTTAAATCCATTCTTATTTAATAGAGAAGTGAATGGATAATTTATACTTCAAAAAATAAAATATAATATAATGATGCCACATTGAAGCAAGTTTGTTTGCTTGCATTTGTATATATATATCTATCTATCTATGGCATTGTTAATACTACCACAATTTTTGCTACTATCACCACAAACCTCCATCTATGAAATATCATCTTTGTTTAATATTTTTTAAACAAATCAAATTTTCTTTGTATAATACCTTGCAAACCATCCAATTAAACAAATTTCTTGATTAGAAAATAAACTAAGAAAAAAGGAAACTAAAAATTCCAGATATATATATATATATATATATATATATATGTATATTACTTTTTTTAACAAATTACTCAAAAAAAAAATTTACTCCATTTTCTGTCATTTTTCTGTTCAATAAATAAATAAATATTACTTTCAATTTAATTATAAAGTGCGATGTTAAAAAAATAAAAAACACAAAAAAAATAAAAAAAAAATAAATGTAAAACTCGGAGAAATATCTTCAGTAAATTACTGAGAAGCAATAATCCACATATGCTTTGTCGTTTCCTCATAGGTTATTTCAATCTTCAATAATAATTTGAAGCTAACTAATGTAATCCTAACATTAGTAACAATCAATCTTGGGATCGAACCCCGGAGACCTCTCTCACACGCTCTCTAGTGGCTCCTCACCGTCGAAGTGTTGCATTGCCCTCTCGGAGCTCAGACTTTCGACTTGAGCTTTGCCTCGCTCTCGACAGCGTCGCACCGCAAGCTTGTGATCCACATGCACATATACATGCGGGATGAACCATTATATTGCGGCGACACGAGCGCTCCAGGCATGGCTGTGAGTTTTTCTACAGCTCGCGATACTGGTGTCTGGTGAAATCGGAATCGCCGTGTGCGAACGGTCGCAATGAGATTTATTGCAACGAAGAGATGTTCGCCGTCTGTGTGCGCCAGGCATTTTGCGCATCTTCGACATGGAGCGCAGACGACGTGGTTGTTCGTAGTTTTTGTGCTGCTCGTTTGTGAGTTCTCGGCGCAGCTTGGTGATAGATTAGCTATAATCACGAACGTGGACGCAGTTAGGGTTGGTGTGAGCGAAGCGTTTTCGCAGGGAGATTGTGAAACCACACTCTACTCTAGCGACAACTACCTTAAATGTACTTTCGACCTCCAGCTCGTCCCAAACACGACGCAGGATGTGAGCGACCTGATCAAGCTGCACACGAATTCCAGCAACAGCCGTATAAAAATCCGTGCCACTCGTCGGGGCTTTCACAGCTCTGCCGGGTTCGTCTGCTCTGGCCGAAGGAGTAGCAGTAAGAAGGAACGCGTGGAATTTGGGGATGACCATGGCCGGCGCAGTTTACGTGTCACGTCGTACACAATGCTGCTTCACGTCATGAATCATGTAGTATCGGTTGACGCGGAGCAGCATAAGCTTACGGTTGAGGCTGGGATGACTCTCCTGGAGCTTGCGCGTGTGGCCGAAGCGAATGGCATGGCGGTGCCCGCGGGGGCATTGTCCATGTACGGGAACCTGACCGTAGGCGGGGTGATTATGGCATCGGCGCATGGCTCTGGATTAGGTACTGTGAGCAGCCTAGGCGACCTGGTGACGAAGATCAAATGGGTGAATGCAAAGGGGGAAATAATTGTAAGTGACTTGCAAACGGAGCGTGGAGCGAAGGAGGTGAGGGCCTTAGTGGGAGGACTAGGCTTGTTGGGAGTTGTCACGGAGTTCACCCTTAAGCTGCAACCCAACTCTCGAACGATCGTGGATACCCGGAAGGGCTTAGATGATACAAACCTAGTTCTTGACCTGAAGAAAACATTAGCGCTTGAAACGCCACACATAATCGTGCACTGGAGGCCTGATTTCGAATCGTATAAAGCACTGTTGTTTACGCAGGTGGACGATGTGAACCAAAGTGCTGCTGCTGTCATACCGAAATACTATCCGAATGCAAGAAGAGCATCCGACATTCCAGTTAGTGATAAAATGGCCAGTGCATGGAGCGAGCTCATGGCCACTTGGGAGGATGATGCAGCGGAGGAGCTACCTTCTGCCGACGTGCTGAATACAGGTTAGTCATATTCGGAAATCGATGAAAACCGTCCTGGCCATTCTTGTATGTCGATCTCAGTTACATCAAACTTCTAGAGTTCCTTCTGCTGACGAATATTAAGATTTGATACGGGCACGACAGAGATCTGCAGCTGGGGAGAGAGCACGCACAGAATGTCGATGTTTCTGGACATCGATGGGACTCCGATCGATCATGGAATGTTTCGAACCAATTCTGCGATTTTAACAGGTGACTGTAGTCCGAAGTGCTTGTATGCAGTGCATCACATGGGCACATTTACGGAGGATACAGAGTTCACGATCAAATTCTCCCAGTTGGAAGCGTGGGTGCAGATGTGAAAAGCATAGTGAAGACGGAGCTGGACGAGGTTGAAGCTCGCTTGCGCATGCGCCATGGTGTAGGCAGGGTCAAGCGGTGCCTACCTCCTGGATACTTCTGGCTTCGGTTCGGACAAGGCAACAGGAACTTGCTTTCAACAGCCGTGGGTTCCGAGGACGTAGTCTACGTGCAATGGACATTCTTGCATTCTGCATTGATACCAAACAAGCTTGCCAAGCAATCCACAATTGCTGAAACGCTAGAACAGCTGACTTTGTGCAAATATCAAGGTCGGCCGCACTGGGGAAAGAACCACGAGAGGGTTTTCCGACACCCTGATTGCAAAGTTGTGGACAATTTCCCGGCCGCGAACATTGCACAGCTGCTAGAGATGCAAAGGCAACATGACCCAGAGAAAATTTTCGAGCCTGAGCTTTTCAACGATCTTTTGCAGAGAACAGGCCCAGAATACTCCCCGCTCTGTACTGCACATTTCTGGTGCTATTGCCGAGATGACTCTCATTGTCCTCACGGCCACAAATGTCGGCCCTCTCCGCTTTTCCTCGAGTACAAGATTTGCAAATTGGTGCAAACCACGAATCACCAGCAACATGCAGAACTCTGAAAGGTGCAACGTATGGTAAACTCTACAAATCCATGTCACGAATCTTACCGCAACAAAGACTAGAAATAGGAATTGAGGTTCAAAACAGTGACTTCCATAACCAGTGACACCATGGCCTTCTCAGATTGAAGTAAGCTCATCATTTACAGAATACAAACACGCTTTTAATTAGAAGATTACCTTCCGTCCTCATCGTCTCGCTATCAAAGTTGGGCTGGCTACTCATATGTGTCAGGTGGACGCTTCAGACGTCCAGACCTCATCCGACGAATGGCTGGAGCTCTTATCCATAGTCGCAGTCCGAATCAAACTAGACCATGGGCCGTACATTTAGTCGAAGTGCTCTTTCTGAATACCTGGCAAGGCACAAAATCAATCAGATGCAGGTGGTGTGAGTAAACTACACATTCTTGGGAAGGTTACACTGCCAGCCTGATATTACGAGCAACAGCAAAGGCCATGTGTGACCGTTGATCTAACAAGATAATTGCACCGACCTCATTGCTGCTACTGTGCACTGTTCAAGAATGTTCACAAGGAATGAACAATTCCAACTTAAAGTTTGTACGATGGAATCAATCTTTCCTTCCTTCAAGATTCGTCGACACTTGTGATTCTGCACCTCTCAAGCTCCAACTCCCCTGCAACCCCCCATGTGCTGTGACCAGCATTGCACAGAGAGGCTTAAACATGTATTTTCACCTACGTCTCAGACCTCCCTCAAGTCTTATGCAAGTCGAGCATGAGCAGGGACAGATGGGGTTGAGTAGGAATTTTCTGCTGATAAGCAGCACTGTCAGATTGGTCATGATCCAAGGAATTTTGAAATAATCAAAGTGTGAGTGAAAAACGACATAGTTGGTAATGTTTTTACCGAGAATTGAATTTACATGATATATTGGTGTTACCCAATGGAGACGTAGTCACTAAGTGATACTCTCTCTAAAAGTGATATAATACCTGGAAGTGATACTGTGCTTAGAAGTGATGCTGCCAAGAAGAAGTTGCGCCTAGCCTTATCTTGAGTAGACAAGATGAATGAAAAAGGGACGTGAATTGCATTGAAAAATATAAAGTGGTTATTCGTGTCTTTCAACACCATGTAGTCATGACTAATTTTATTGCTCACTAGTTGTTACACTTAAGATACAGATTATATATTATAGAGTTGGATGAATTTGACAAGTTTTTATGAATGTTGATATTTTTTACTAAAATTAGATTTTATTTAGAAGAAAAAACTTGCAACTCCAACAAATGGTGTTTGATATATATATATATATATATATATATGGCTTCTTTTGTTTCTTTCAATAGTTCTTTATACTAAGTTTTAGTAGTATTCTTTGACATTGTTGCTTGTTGTTTGCTAGACCATGAAATTGGTCCTGATGCTAAGTTGAATAAATAAGCACCAAACAATCTACTATTTTCATTACATCTAAGATAATTAAAATTGCTGAAGCTTTTTAATGTAAATTATCTTTTGGATAAAGAAATATTGTAATTTCAAAGGTCAATTATCTCTATTACTAACAAATCATTAATAAATGACAAGAAAATAGTTAGAATATTTAATTTTTGGAAGAAGTATATGTTTAAATTAATGATACTACAAATCTAGCCAAAATTACAAAAATAAGTATCAATTTCTTGGTATTATATTTGAAAAGATTGTTTTAGTATGTAGATAGATCTTTTTAATTTATATATTAAATATTTTTATTTTTTTATTGTAAAATTAAGAATTTTTTTTATAAAGATAATTTTTTATAATACATCATTTTGAAAATACCATCACTACAACTATATGATCAAGAATTTATTCAATAACTACTACAAAGCTATGATTGCATATAAGAATGTCCATTTTACTACCAATGCAAATGTTTTGTTACAATTGATTCTTTCTTTTATTCCAATCCACTTAAAACTATTAAAATTTGAGTTGTATTTGATTAGAATTTAATTTTGACTTTACTTTGTAGATCCATTTTGATGTGAGCTTTTTTGCTCTCTAGTAGAAGTAATAATTCTTAAGTTTTATTTTTTCTTAATAAATCCATTTCTTCTTATATAAATTGCCTCCATTCTTAATAGCTTATAGTTTCTAGGAATGTAATTTTGTCACTCATTAGATCTTTTGTATTTACCAAAAAGACATTGCTATCTTCTACTGCACTAAGATTGTAATCTTGTAATTTGGTAGAAATTTCCTTGGTGTGTACCAATTTCTTCAAGGATGCAACAACTACTAAATTCTAAAGTGACTCTTGGAATAGTGAGTTTTTTTGTATTAATTTCAGTACTATCCAATCTAATTTATTACATGTTTTGTTTTCTTTCATATCTTGATTCAAATTGTAATGTAGATTTTTATTTATTAAGTTGTAAGTAGCTAGTTGTGGATTTGTTTATATGTTATTTTCAACTTTTTTTCTATTTTTGATTTTATCTTCTTTCTAGAAAAAAAGTGTTCTATTCAAGTCCAATATTATTGAAAAGTTTTTCATTTTTTTATTTTTAAAAGCTCCAAATTTACATAGGTTTTCATCAACAATAGTATCATCTTAGAAAATAAGAATGAATTGCTTATTGAGGTGTTATTAAAAATAATCTTTGATTTTTCTTTTTAAATTCTATTTTATTGAAATAGTATAAAGAAAATTTTCTTAAAGTTTTAATTAAAAATCTAAGTAGATAAGGATATAGGATGTAAAACAAAGAATTTAAAGATAGATGATAGAAAATATATTATTGTATAAGGCTTGATAAGATATAGAAAAGTAGAAGGCAAAGGTCTTACAATGGTTTAACATACAAGTAAAAAAATAAATACTTTTATATAAAAAGGTGAATAAAAAAGTTGTTAATAATAAATTTATTTTTTATTATTATATAAAAGTAAATACTTTTATACTTTGCTATATTATTTTGATTTAAAGTACATGTAGCTATAAGCTATTAATAGATTTCTTTCGAAATATAAAATTCTAAAAAGGTGGAATGTACATATTTACTTCTTTTGTCAAAACAAATTCAAGCCACAAAAATAATAAAATATTTTATGATAGAATGGATAATTTTTTTAAAAAATAAATAAAAAATTAATTAAATTATAATATATTACAAAAAATTATTAATAATAGTAAAAATATATTTATTTGAGATTGAAAAGGTAATTAGAGTATAAATATTTGTACGCATTTGTTGAAGTGGTTTGGTGGCTTGAATTGTTAATTTCTTTGGAATTTAATCTTAGTAGTAATTAACTAAGATACATGTATTGCATTTATACTTCTTACAAAAAAGTTACAAAATATCACGTGTCAATGTTTTAGAAAACATGTGATATACCATTTGATGATTGATATGGTACAAGAACTTATGTCAAAGATCTAAAAGTGTAAATTTCTTATTGATAGTAGTAATAAAATATTTTTCTTGTAAAGAACTATATGATCTAGAACAAATTTTATAAAGACTTTAAAAACTTGTATGGTTGGAAAACATAATTATATATAAGGATTTTTCTTTGTTATATACATTTTTTTTTTTTGTTGTTAAACAAAACTATACAACCATTATCAATGCTTTTTTTGAACAAGAAACAAATATCTTTGTCATACCTAATATGTATAAAATATCATTTATAACTTTTTTTTTTATGAAGGTTGACAATGTTATTTCCAATAATTATAAGAGATACTTTATTTATTATAGATAAAAAGGAATAAGATCCACAAAGGGTATATTAGATGAACTTAGACTTATCACCAATGATATAATTTGTAGTAATTAAAGTCTACATATTAGTCTTATTTATTTTTTAAAATTTAGTAATATCTAATTTTATTCAATTTTTTAATATTTATAAATTAAATTTATCTTTTTATTCATTTTTTTTGCAATAGATTTTAGTAAAGAGAATTTAAAATTTTTTTGTACAAACATTGAAAGGTTACAATTGAATTTATGCAATGCCTTCATTAATTTGTTTTAAATAATGATCATTTTTGCAATAATTGATTCTCTTATAGTACTTGTATTTTAATTTTAGACATCTACATTATATATTAATACTTTTATTATATGTTTGTGATAAATAAATAATTTAAAAAATATATTTAGATTCTAAATATAAATAAAAATTATAAAATATATTTTATTTATATATGTTCAAGTGCTTGCTTTAACAAAAAAATACCACATCTAAAAAAACATATTATTATCAAAATGATCTTTATTTTATTTTATGATTTTATTCTTCTTTTGACAATCCTTTGGCTTGCATTTAGAGAAAAATATTGGCATACATTATTGTATTATGTTTCATATTATTTAAAAATATACTAGGTACTTGATTATTAAAGGTAAATTTATATTTTGCAACTTAGTAAGAATCTAACAACCTATCACAAACTTACATATTTATTTAGATAAAAAATATTAGATAGAAAATAAATTTTGGCAGATTTGATATCATCTTAAGGCAAAGCTTTTTAGAAGCTTCATAGATGCATATTTGACATATGATGTGTTTATAATTGATAGATAGGTTAGAAGCTTGGCCAACAAATTAGCCACAAGTTGGTTGTGCAAGTAGCTTGTAAAACAAGCTAATAACATGGGACACATATAAGAAACTTGTCTTGTAAGTTAAAGACATTTTTATGTGGTAATATAACTATATGGCAAAAAATAAAATATAGATGTTATTGTAGAAGAGCCTAATAGAAAGATATAATAAAAAAATAAGGATAAATGATAAGAAGGTAGTAAAATATTTAGTCTTAATGCTGTTTTTTTATAGACAAGACTTCTATTTACTTTGTAGAGGTATAAATGTCTCAAATCAAAGTAAGTGAGATAAATAAATAATATATACATCTTTAAAAGAAAACTAAAAATTTATTTAAGCAAAAATTATTTCAAATTATCAAAAATTGATATTCAAAGAAGAGCAATTGTGAACTTGGATCAAAATCAGATCTTGAGGCTCAAAACTTCACATTTATAGTGATTTGAGATTCTTTTGTAAATACAAGCATAGAATTTGAAAGAAAACTTAAGAAGAAATATTTAAAATTTGATATTATGTCATTTGGGTTAATACTAAGGTTTTAAAGGATTTTCAAAGTTAGTGATGTACTCAATAGATTTAAATTTTGAGAAATAAAAATAAGTTTATAAATTTGGAGATTTTGTGAATTTTATAGCATATTTATAGATAAAATTTTTAAAGTTTTTCAATTTGATTATTTTAAATATTTAAAAAATATTTGAAGTCAATTGAGCAATTAGATTGAAATATATGAGAGTTTTTATAGTTAATAGTTTTAGATAATTAAAATTTAGGATCTGTGAGGGATTTTGTAAAAACAAAAGATGCCTCAAAAAATGTTATTGAAAATTATAGCTACAATATGTAGTGTAATATATTGGAACAATCTTGTAGAGGCTCTTTTAGTTCATGCATGTATTCCTAAGAGCCAACATAAAGCCTTAATGGAAGAAAAGAGATAAAAAAATTTTGATGATATAAAATAAGAAAATTCTTTAAAGAGGCAAACTAAGAGAAGCAAGTAAATCAATTTTATAGCTAAATCCTAGAAAACTTACTATTAAAAGTATGAGAAAAGTGATAATAAATATACTAAAAAATTTCAATAAAATAAGATCAAAGTTTTAAGAATTTTTATATGTAAAGTTCTATCTAAAGTTGCATCATTCTCAATATCTCAATAGATTTATTTACTTTGGATTCATAGATGCACTTCTTTTTAGTAATGCCTTATCTTGATTTATACCTTTGATGGAAAAAAGATTCATGTCTATTCTATAATTTAAGTTTATTCTTGAAAGCTTTTATGACTACATTTTGAAAAAATAATTAAAAAAGTGTCATAGAAAAAAAACTCATATCTTCATAAT